GGTACTGCTTCTCGATAATTAATGATGGACTATAAAAAATCAGAGAGATTACATATAAAAATTTCTAGTTATTAGATAATTTTTTCCTTTTCTTTTTATATATAGTGTTAGAGCAAATTTTGATTTCTATACAATCTATATAGTTTATATAGCCTAGCATAGGCAAAAGTAGTATTGCTATGTTCACCTTTTTTGCAACTTTTTTTCTTTTTCTCTTTTTTTTACTTTTGGTTTGTTTTTTTTACTTGTTTAGTTTGGTTTTTTACTCTTTTTTTACTTTTCTTTTTATTTTTTAATTTTTTATTGTTCTTTGGTGGAATTCTTCTACCTAGAAGACTAGAAGAAAAAGGTTAAAAAAGAAAGTAGTTATAACAGATCAGTAAACCAGGCTAGTAATCTAAGGCAGGTCTCTATTGCTAAGATATTGAAACTTACCAGTGAGGCTGAACTCATCTTTGGCAGATCACACATACTGTAAGTCTAATTGAAAACCGGATAAGCCATATTCCAGTTTTTTTGCTATAAGGCATGATATAACTAGTTATCTGTAGAGATAATTCCTTTTTCACTAATAAAGCAGAGCATGTGACATAATTGTCAAAAAGAAATAATAATAAATATTAAAAAAAAGCTTATTTATAAGCAACAAAAACTACAAATTATAGATTTCTTGCAATTTACTTAACTTATTCAAAGTAGGTAATTAAATAATTTTATTATTTTTTTGTTTATTTATTTTATTATTTTGCTACTTATAGCTAGCTTGCTAGTAAGCAAAAAACCAATAACAATTGCAAACTTTTTAAATATTATTGCTACTTAAACCAATCTTAGCAGATTATACTGTATATTTTAATCATTTTAATATCTAAATATAATTTTTATTGCTTTAATAAAAAATTTTATCTCTAGTCTAAAATAATAATTATTATTATTATTATTATTATTATTTTTTAGAGCTTTGACTGTCTTGTTAGAGCTCAAATACAATACTTTATTAATGTAAAAAACTTGGATGGAAATTTATTAAAGCATATTTAAATTGTAAGCTCAACATCACTTGGCTATGATTAACGTGCCTAGCTGTAACTTGTCGCACCAATCTACATGTAAGTCAAAGACCTTGTTAGCCTGCCAAAAGCTTATCACTTCATTCTAACTTTCTTTACCAAGAGCAAAAGAAAATAATGTTCTAATATACTGAAACGTACAGTTAGAAAAAAAAGAGTTTTACACATATAAAAACACAAAAGCAAAAAAGGAGAAATTCTAAAAAGAAAATAAAAAAGAGAAAAGAGAAATATAAAAAAGAAAAAAACAAAGAGATAAGCCCAGACAGGCAACAAGAAAAGAAAGTGTGCTATCTTTAATTGTAGAAATAGCAAAAAAAGAAATCAAACAAAAAGGCTTCCTTCTTAGTATCTTAAAAACAAAAAACAAGAAAAAATGCACTATTATAACCCATACTAGATGAGTGTAAAAATTATATAACAAATACAACATTTGTATATTTCTTTTGTAAAGCTTCGCCTTAATGTTAGTATTTTTTTCTGACTATATGACCAACTCCAAAATAATTAATCCAACCTAATCCATATCTCAAGCCAGGTGCTATTGCCGTTCATAGACTCGTATCTCAAGCTACCTGCTGCCGCCATTAGAAGAAATTCATAAGACCTGTCCAATTTAGTAGCACTATATTCATTAAACACGTTGTTGTAATCTACTTGGCTATTCGGATTTGGGATATAAACAATGTCAATTCTTTGGAGAGAGTAAGCCAAATTTCCACTTTTTATTCAGAAAATTTTTTCAAAACAACGAAAGTTATAGAAGAGAGTTTTTATAGATAAAGAACGACTACTTGTATTTTTTGTAAAGAGCATATTGAAAATTAAAATCTTTTGTTATTCCTCTTGTCTTTTCTGTTTGACTCCTAAGAGACTTCGTCAATGGAAACCCTTCTCTCCAGGACACTATCTTCACCAAAATTTTCTGTACAAGGGTACTATCTGCTAGTTATCTTGCACCAAAACACTTTTAGTTTGCATGCCAAATATGTAAAGAAGTTAAGCAAATCCAATCTCTACAAAAACCAACTCATCAGAGTATAAAACAACATTATCTCCAACAAAATATTTAATATAGGTCATATTTGGATTTTGGCTGATTTGGCCTAATTTGCTAAAAATTAGAATTTCACCTTTTCTTAAATATTTTCGGATCCAGTAATTAGAATTGAATAAACTTTTTTTAAAAAGAAGCACCTCACTGAGGGCTTTCATTTAAAAAAAGTTCATCCAAATTGGACTACTAGTTGCTGAGATATTTACAAAAATGTGATTTTTTGCTCCTCAAATTTATAGGGGTTTTGCTGAAAAGTTCCTATATAACCTATATCCTAGATGTCCGGGATCCTGTAATACTTATTAGGCAAAAATAAATTAGCAACCTGTCACACTGCAACTCTTATATAATCAGCTAATTATTTTTAAAATTAGTGATCATATAAAACAGATTATGTTAAATTTGTTTATTAAAACCTTTCTCAAGTTAATAATCGGTACTAGACTTGAATAAGCATTAGTAGCTTTTTTTTTTTTTAATAACTAAACCTTTCTCTTGAGTAGATTATTTGTTAAGTCATGAAGATAAGTATTAAAAGCATTTTTTTGTCTTATTAGAGCCAACATTTTTTTGTATTGTATAAGTTAATTATAATAATATTCTTTTTTTTTATTAGGCTGAAATAGTATTGAACTGAAGGTATTAAGGCTATACAAAGTTAATTTCTTGGTTTTTATAATATAAAATAAAATTTATAACCTGGCAACCCGAATTTTTATTTTTTTTAAAAAAAAATTTCAAAATATATTAGTGGCTATAAAAATGATCTAATTGACTAATCATGTTAATCATTTACTTGTAAGTCAAAAACTTGGAGTTGGCAACTATCTTCAAAGTTACTCTAACTAGCTATAATTAAAATCCACATACAACATCTAGACCATTTTGCAAATCACATTGAGGGAGCTGTTTAATAATAGCTTTAGGCAGTTCTTAACATTTTTATCTACAGTTAACAAAGCAATTCGGTTGGATAAAAAAATAAATCGTAATAGTTATTTAGGGTTGTTCTCAAGCAACTTCATTAATATAATTTGCTAATCGATTAATTAAAGTGATCATTACAACAATTTGCTGAAAGTGAAAGTTTATTGTACCAAATGCAGATTTTAAGAGGATCTGATCAACTCACTGACAATCACTTTATAAATACCACTTTTCCTGACAATTACTTACTAACAAGTTCATTTCATCGACAGTTTATTTCACCAAAGCTTATTTTACAGACAAAATAATTCTGGTTAATATCATTAGGGTCAGGTTAGAATAAAGTTAAAGTTAGTGTAATCTATAAAAAAAAAGTTTGTCAATGAAATAAGCTTTGGTGAAATAAACTGTTGGTAAATAAACTTGTTTGTAAATAATTGTTAGTGAAATTTGGTGTCTATGAAGTGATTGTCAGTGAAATAATATAGATCCATTAAAATTTAAGTAAAACAATTAAGCACACTCTAAGCCAAAAAATCTGGTGTCAATATTTTTTTCTTTTTCTTGAAATTAAAATCCAATAAACTATTAGACAAATTATTATAAGAATCTCTTTAATTAATTACAATAATTGTGCATATCTCAATTACCAAAAAATCACATTGAGAGAGTTGTATAAAAATACACTAAGTGGCACTCTCAAGGTGATGGCTATGATTGAGTTATTGATCGCAGTTAATCTAGAATGGTTTTGCTTATAAATATTAATTAACCTAGTAAAATTTTGACTTTGTATATAGCTACGATCATTGATTAGTGAAATCATAGTGTTTAATAACTTTTTATATTAGCTATCTGACTAATTAAATTATTTCACATATAAATAATCTAATGATCCAAATAGCCAGGTCATTTACTTAAATAACTTGGTTATTTAAATTTTGAGCAAATGACCTGGTCATTTACTATCCCTGGCCATGAACTGCATGTTCAATATTAAATTTATCAGTGTGAATTAAATATTATTTTGACAGATCATTATCAAAATTGCATGTTCAATTTGTCATTTAGCTTATAGATTTTTGTAAACAATCTTATGACATCTTGTTAGATGCAAGATTGCATATATAAATTACTATGATTATTTGAGAATGTAATCATAAGCAGTGCAAAGACTTACCGGTATGCTTTGGTGATTAGGCTCCACTGCTGCTATAGACAATACAAGAACCTATATTTTAGTAACATTCACATCACCAGATAAAACTACATGACTGATTATATATAATTTCTTCTTGGCCCAATTAGAAAGCATTTATTTATCTTATTTGATTTATTTAATATAAAACTGCAATGTTTTAATGCTATAATGTAAGTATGATATAAAGTTGTTGAATTACTATATTATCGTGAAATAGCATGCAGAGGTAAAATTATAAATTTTGGCTTAAATTAATCTTAATTCGGGCTGAACCTCGAAATAATGCCCATAGTTATTATTTTGCGATAATATGGTAAGCCAAAATATTATACTCTTTAAATTAATTTGATTATTATAAAAGCTAAAATATTTTTATATACATAGTTGTATAAACTAAATTATTTTAGCATTGCTGATTAATAAGCAAGTCATAGTTAAGGTGATATTGACGATTAGAAGCCTGCCTTTAAATTTTTCTAAATTGGCATTGCTAATTGTAAACAATTTATTTGTCAAAAGCAAGCTGTGTTTTTATTAGCTAGTTTAAAAAATTTAAAATTTAAAATTCTAGTTTTTAGACCTAGCCAGGTTATGAAAACCAAAAAATTAATTTTGTATGGCCTAAGCTTGAAAACATTGTAATATGTGTTTTCAATTTTTTTTTTATATATGTGTGACCAACACACTTCTTTACCAGTTTTTTAATATTGCTATCATGTTTTATTAGTAGTGCAGTTTATTGTTGTCACTGATATTTATGTAACACTTTTTCAATGTTACTAGTATCTTGTATCTTTTTAACCAATGTTCTTCTTTCAGGTAAGGCTTGAATATTGTTGTCACATTTCATTAATAGAGTAGTTTTGTCATCATTACTAGTATCTTGTATCTTTTTTTTTTCCTATATAAATTTTTTAACTAGCATTTTTCTTTTAGATAGAGCTTGACATTGTCATTGCATTTTATTGATGAAGTGGTTTTGTTATTGTTACTGGTGTCTTGTATTTTCTTGTATCCTTTTTTATTCTTTATATGTCTTGTATTTTTTTTTTTTCCTGTATGAATCTTTTGACTACCATTTTTCTTTTAAATAGAGCTTGAATATTGTTGTTGTATTTTATTAATAGAGCAGTTTTGTCATCATTACTGGTGTCTTGTATTCTTTTTTATTCTTTGTATATCTTGTATCTTTTTTTTCTTGTATAAATCTTTTGACTAATGTTTTTCTTTTAGATAGGGCTTAAATATTGTTGTTGTATTTCGTTAATAGAGTGGTTTTGTTATTATTACTAGTATCTTGTATTTTTTTTTATTTTTTGTATATCTTATATCTTTTTTTTCTTGTGTGAATCTTTTAACTAGTGATGGTATTCAATCAAAAAATGCTATTTAGCTATTTGATGAATAAACCCATGGGTTATCCGAGTGATCTACAGATATATCTAGATATAAAATCTTATTCAATATATCTAGATAAAATTACTATCCCTTAAACTATCCCTTAAATTGTAACACAGGCAAATTTGCCTGCGAAGATTTTTACTAATTTTTTTAATATTTAAATTTTT